AAAGAAAAATGAAACTATGCATATCTCATGAAGAAAAAAAAGATATCACCACTTTTCAACTACCTTGTAAAATTACAAAAAATAAAATAAAAAATAAATAAAAGTTTGGATTAAACTACAATCTCTGTGTAGCAAACATCAGTTCCTTTTTAAGAGGGGAAGTTCAAGGTCAACCCTGCTCGGTAGACATGACTGAGAGCAGGGCATAGTGTTATTTCCTGTCTTGTTAAAGTTATTGCTGTGCTCTTTGCCTGGCTGAGCTTAGTTTAAAGTAGCTGAAGCTCAATGAGCAGAAATGGAAGTGACATTGATAAGAGGAACTGCACCTCTACTTTGGAGGAAGTGTTCAAAAAGAAAAGAAATGCCTTTTGCAATTTCAGACGACACAGGTTAGGGCCACATCCTTTCTGAAAGGTGACTGTGAAGGGAGACCAGTGAGCACAGTTCACAATGACTGTTTTATCTAATGCTCTGAGACGGAAATTTAACTATTTATTTACGTTCATAAATATATTCATCACATTAAATACCTGCAGGAAGTTTAATGATGAAAAGGCATAGCCTCACTTTGGCTTCCTGCTAACTCTGAGAAGATTGATTGGTCCAATCTCCTTGCCTCCACTGTTAAAAAGTAAACTAAGGCATAATAAAATTTCAAAGAGTTTATTTGAGCAAACAACACAAGTTTATTTGAACAAACAGCGATTCGTGAACCAGAAGTGGTTGAGGAGCTCCACCGAGAGAATGCATGCAGGAGGACTAACACGAAAGTAAAGCAAAGACAATATTTGCTTGGTTACAGTTATACAGTTGCCTTATTTGGTCTATTCCATTGGAAAGTCCTTAGTTATATCAGTTTGTTGGCTGCTTCTGATTGGCTGAGCTTAAATTTTTCTTTAGCATAGGCATTTACAAGATATAGCTCAAATTATGTTTGCATGTATTGCTTATGTTTGCAAATCAAGCAAGGTTCAGGTCACTTATAAGGTATCACTGGTTTTGTCTGCTAGAGGATATTCCAGGCCTGGTCTCCATATTAATTTACTTTAACACGTTTAATAAAGGTGTTAAATAAAGGTTTAATGAAGGTTAACTTCTGAGAATCTTTAAGAGCCATTTTATTTATTTTTTTGAGACAGAGTCTTGCTTTGTTGCCTGGGCTAGAGTGAGTGCCGTGGCGTCAGCCTAGCTCATGGCAACCTCAAACTCATGGGCTCAAGCAATCCTACTGCCTCAGTCTCCCGAGTAGCTGGGACTACAGGCATGTGCCACCATGCCTGGCTAATTTTTATATATATATATATATATATATTTTGTTTTTTAGTTGTCCAGCTAATTTTTTTCTATTTTTTTAGTAGAGACAGGGTCTCACTGTTGCTCAGGCTGGTCTGGAACTCCTGAGCTCAAACGATCCACCTGCTTTGGCCTCCCAGAGTGCTAGGATTACAGGCGCGAGCCACTGCTCTCAACCTGAGCCATTTTAAATTAAACCTATGCATGATATTGACTCTTTTACATACCTAATAGCTCACCAACAATTGGATATTCATTGCTGGCGCAAATGTAAGTTTTCCTCAGCAACTAGTTCTCTCTTTGGCCCTCACAGAGTCTGGCAAAAGTGTAACTATTGTATTGTTCAATATTCATCCACCATTTCACATAGCCACATTGAGGGGAAAGTCTACCGTCTGGCCCACAATTTCAGTTCTGTATATGTGTGGTCAGAAGCTGCAATGATGCAATCTTCATGTTTAAATTAATTCATTTGGGACATTGTAAAGACTGTCCTAAAAAGCTGCAGTAGATAAATGCACATATAAGAATAACATCCATTGGATGTTGGGCAGGGGGGAGGGGGGGAGGAGGGAGGAGGGGACGGGTATTTGCATACACAAAGAGTGCAATGCGCACCACCTGAAGGATGGACATATTTGAAACTCAGACTTGGGGGGGAGGGGGAGCAAGGGCAACATATGTAACCTAAACATCTGTACCCCCATAATATGCTGAAATTAAAAAAAAAAGAAAGAAGAAAAAAAAAGAAATGCATATTCAAATAAGAAATAAAAAATTGAAAAGACAAAAAAATAAAAGCTGCAGTAGTCTGGTATTATAGGTGTTGATAATGACAATAATAAACATGATAATTAAGCCTTCCCTTATAAATCTTATAATGAAGTGACTAGACTTCCTATGGGTAATACATTATCTTTGTCTATAATTAAAATAGTGGCAATTATCCTTTAAAAACAACAACCAGTTTATTAAGAATTATTGTGAGGAGCAGGCAGAGAAGAACAACGGGTCTGTAGTTTAATAATTATGTAAGTGGTAGATTACTAATTATTATCTGCTTATCACTTCTAGTCTCTGTAACATGCTATGTTTTCTTAAGTCATTCTTCCAGACTCTTTGTATATATTATCTTATTAAATTCTCATAAAAATGCCCCCTCAGTTTGAAGGAGGAAACTTATTAGAGTTTTTAGAGATTTAATAAATTTAAGGGACTTTGGCTCCTAGAATTTTGTAACTCTCAGCTCTGCTGGGAATAATCTTGAGGACTAATAATATCTGATGTGAACTGGGATTAAACCCAAAGTGATTATTGCATTATGAGACCATCAGTGAAAATTATTTACTGAAAGCCATTCATTAGTCAACCAACATTATGGAAAACCTAAAATATGTAATACGGGTATAAGAAATAGGTATAAAGGATTATGGAGAAAATGAGTTTGATTTAGCTAATGATGCATAAGACACAACTCCAAATTTTTTTGATTCAAAATGACAAGCATTTATTCACTTACTCTTCTAGAATTTTGGTAGAACTTTTTTTTTTTTTGAAACAGAGTCTCACTCTGTTGCCCAGGCTAGAGTGCCGTGGCGTCAGCCTAGCTCACAGCAACCTCAAATTCCTGGGCTCAAGCAATCCTACTGCCTCAGCCTCCCGAGTAGCTGGGACTACA